GTCCGGAAACATTTGGTCCGGCCGCGCCTCAGCCACAGGAGACTTACCCGGACACCAGCGGGACACCGGCGGGGCACCGGCAGGACACCGCGCGGCCCCGTTTGCCGGGAGGAGAATCATTTGGTCCGGCCTCGCCTCAGCCACAGGAGACTTTCCGCTCGCCCGCCCACGCAGCTTCGCCTCGCCCGCACGCACGGCACGCACGAACACGAAACCGAAACCGACTTCCCGGTGGGGGGCTCTCCGTTCCACTTCGATCTCACCCCCCAACCTCCGATGCGCGCCCCCGAAGCCACAATCCATCGTAAATTACCATATTGTTGCGTCCCCGAGGCTACGAACCCTAGTAAATTGCACAAGATTCGCGACCCCGAGGCTGCACCCTGCTCCGACACACTGTTGCCGGCGTGGTAAACGCAATCACTCAACCTCACTTGCCGCATCCCCGCTCGGGATTCACCGTTTGCCACACGCTCAATCGATGACCAGTCCTCCGTTGCCTGGAGACGCAAGCTGGCTAACACTACGAGGCCCTGAACAGGGCAGGTATCCAGCAGTGCTTGGGCAAACGCCCAACTGCAATCCACCCGAGGCCTCGGTGCCGACGTAAACACGCCGAGACGCCTAAACAGGCCGTCGATCCGCTACCTGGAATCACACCCCCTGACTGGCGTTTGGGCCCCCTCGGGGCTCGCCCACCCCGCAGCTGAACAGCGCGGACGCATAACCATGCGACACCCCACCAGGGCGGGCGGGTGGGAAAAGACCTCAACAGGTCCATCCCTGAGCCATAATGGACACGGACAAGAGAGAGAGAGAGAGAGAGAGAGAGAGAGCGAGCGAGACCTGCAACCTAGGCACGCCTATTGGCTGGCTCGGTGCATACGTGTCTGCACAGTGCATTGGGCACGAAACTGTAACGAAACCTCTCCGGCGACAGGGGCAAGAAATCGTGCCCCCCCTCGCAAGGTCAACAGCAAGCGGTTGCATTTGAGACGGGTTTTATTCCTCACCTCACGCCCACACGCCGGCGCCGGGGCATGACAACAGGGCACGCGCGCGCAGGCAAGGGAGCGCGCGCGTGCGGGCTGCGCAGACGTGCAACTGCGCACATCAGGCTGTGCTACGCTGCACCCTGCTCCGACACACTGTTGCCGGCGTGGTAAACGCAATCACTCAACCTCACTTGCCGCATCCCCGCTCGGGATTCACCTTTTGCCACACGCTCAATCGATGACCAGTCCTCCGTTGCCTGGAGACGCAAGCTGGCTAACACTACGAGGCCCTGAACAGGGCAGGTATCCAGCAGTGCTTGGGCAAACGCCCAACTGCAATCCACCCGAGGCCTCGGTGCCGACGTAAACACGCCGAGACGCCTAAACAGGCCGTCGATCCGCTACCTGGAATCACACCCCCCCCTCGTAAGTGCAAACCTATTGCACTTCGCGCACTTGCGAGACACAGCGCCTGCACAGGGCGCACTGTCCCACTGCTCCTTGAGGATAGGCTCGTAGTCGGAGATGCTCCATGACCATCCGCAGAAGGTCCGCTGGGGAGAGAACACCATGTGGAACTGCCCACCGTTGCAAGCGACGTACTCCGGCTGCTTGGTGCCCGTGATGACGGCCACGTCGTCTCTCACCTGGTCGCACTTCTCGTCGACGATCCGAACAAGGGCCTCGAACTGCTCCTTGTCCGAGCCGGCGGGGTCCCTGAGCCTTGAAAGGACAGTGGCTGCGATGCGCTCCACAACATCCTCCGACACGGCCTGAACCTCGGGACCGCTGCCGCGGAGGACGCCTGCAGACGCCCGCGCGCGATCCTGAACCCGGCTATGAAGGTCATCGGTACAGGGTGCGTCGGACGCGCCCCCTCCGTGCGAGCGGCCAGGCCACCCCCTTTGCTTCCAAGAAGAGCGTCGCGAACATAAAGCAGTACCGCCGCTGAGCCCCACCTGCCAAACAGCTGAATCACTGCAAGAGAATGTCCGGCTTTGGCCATGCGCTGCGCACCCGTCACTCTCGCAGAGTGGCCCGACACATGCTCAATGCGCCCTCCGACCGCCTCTGTGAGCCCCTTGTAGAATGCCACGACCGATGCCTTTGTGAGCGGCCTGCCGAACGTGTCCACGAGGAGCGGCCAGTTGTGGGCTTCGGTGGAATCAGCTCGACACTGCGTATCCCGATGCCTCCGGGATACGTCGACAACTCTCCGGAGGGCGCGCACGGGGCAGAGTCGAGACGGGCACGCACAGCCCAGCGAGCGTGACTTACCGAGGGCTGCCGGGTCAGCCTTTGAGGCAGGTAGATGCCAAGTGGCCCAACCGCACGGACCGTCCTCCTCCCCCTCGGCCTCGAAGAGCTCCACTGACCTGAGGAAGGCCGAGCTGCTCTCCACTTCGCGGAGCAGCCATGCGCACGCAACCACGGCTGCGTCCACGCCCGCAGCAGGCCACTCCGGCCTCGCTGCAACAGCGACGTTAGCCTTGAAATCGTCGGATACGTACTGCTCCAGCGGCAGCGGCTCTGCCCTCTTGGCGGGGCCGAGTCCACGAAGGATGGCCCGTTTAGCGTCGCCGAAGATCTGCGCCATTTGCCCCGACCACTCGTGCCCAGCCTTGACGTGCTGCCGCTTGATGCACGACAAATACAAAACACCACTGCGGTACTGCCCACGCAACAGCAGGGCCGCAGCCAACGCGAGGGTGTCTGGATTGACCGGGAGCGGCGGAATGCCCCGAGCTGCGCACCGCGCCCGCCACCAGGCCCAGCGAGAGCGATGCGAGGCCCGGGTCCCCCTCGCCAGGGCAGCTTCGTCGAGCTCCGCGATTGCCGCCGCGTCCTGCCGCTTGTCATCGAGGCCTCGCTTCGATCCGCGAGCGTATGCTCGTCGGACTGGCGCATCCG